CTAAGTTGCTGGTTTGTGAATTTAGAATTGATAAGTTGGAATTGTTGAAAATTGGTTATGTTGATTTATTGGAATTGTTTTATTAGAATTAATATTGGTTATTTGATTGGTTTAGTTGAGTTTGCTTCCGCTGATGTTTGAATAATGTTTGTTGTTGGTTTGATTGGATGTTGATGATTAACATTTATAAGAATATTAATCTGGGTCCAACGTTAAAATGTTTTTAAAAAACAAATAGGGATCGGATTGTTTCAGTTCCCATGAGTGTCTAAAATGAGTTTCGAATTGATGAGTTTTTTTTGCTATTAGTCTTTGACTTCAGCTTCTGGAATTATAATTCTTATATTCTCTTTAATGAATTTTTGAGGATTTTGTTTGATTATTCTAATCTTGGATCATATCGTTGACGGGTTCTAAGTTCTAACAAAAGTGAAGTTAATCTGCAAATCCAAGTAGTTGTCTTCAAGCTTGCATAAAAATTTGTGAAAAGAAGAAGAAGAAGTTCGTGCTGACACTCTTTAGTTTCGCACTGAATAATACAATAAGCTTAATATCAATAAATAGTGGATTCATCTATCATTCGTTTACAATTATCCTTCTTCAATTGTTGGTTTCTCGACAACTCATTAATATATAAATTTGTATTGGTCATTCTTTCACATATATCATCTGTTTATTTGATTTTCTCAAGTTTTCACGTTTTCTATGTTTTCTCTTCCTAGATGGCTTCGTCAAGTACTAAGAATAAGTGCCCGAAAGTACTCTACGCAAAGGGGAAAGTACATCGAATGCCTTGCAATCGGTTGTACTTTTGAAGGTTTGAATGATAGCAACATTCCACAAGGAAGCTAGCGGCTGAGATTTATGACGAGGTGGGATTGCCGCATATGACCCTGAACTAAGAAAGCTTATATTTTTGTTTTTAGTTTCTTAATTTTCTGAACTTTAGTTAGTTGTGTTTTTTTTACTAACTGCGGTTGTTTTTTGTAAGAATTTGGTAGTTTCTTAGCTTTTACATTGTTAGTTGTCTGGCATTTCTTCCCATTTAGTCTTCCTACGCCACATTTTCCACCATCTTAATGATTACCAAATCAATTTGCAGATCTTAATTCTTGCACCAAACAAATGTTAATTTGACAAGCAATCAAGCCGCATCAATATAATTCAAATGACTAAATCAAATAGTATAGTTATTAGATCGTAGATGATGTTGTACAATGTACAATGTTTCCAAAATTCAGGTAAGTAAAATGATGCTGGTTCTTGAGATGGTGCTCGTTTTACGTTTCCATCTACGTGTAACCTGCGTCATTTGGTTAATATGGTATAGTTCGGTTTGGTTTAGCCAAATCGGTATAGTTAGGTTAATTTATATAAGTTAGTCTATGATTAAAAAAAAACAAATTTGTGATCAAGAGTACAAATCTATCAAGTAAATATGTAGAGTAAAGAAATAAATCTATTGAATACTAATAAATCTGTCAAAATAAAATAAATTTGTGGCAAAAAAAAAAAGAATTTGTGACAAACTAATTACGTCTGTTAAATTTAAGAAATTTTGTCTCTAAATAGAAACAAATCTGTGACGGAAATAGTTAAGCTTTCAAAATTATTAAGTAAATTTGTGGCCAAAAAGAAATAAATTTATTGAATACTAATAAATCTGTCAAAATAAAGTAAATTTGTTGCCAAAGGGAAATAAATTTGTGACAAACTAATTAAGTCGGTCAAATTTAAGAAAATTTGTGTCTAAACAGAAACAAATTTGTAAGGGGAAAATTAAGCCTGTCAAAATTAACTAAATTTGTGACGAAATGGGATTAAATCTATTGAAAGCTAATTAATTTTGTCAAAATTAAGTAAGTCTATGGTCAAAAGAAAAATATGCTAAATAAATCGGTGAGACACCTATAAATTTGTCAATATTAAATAAATTTGTGGCCAAAAGAAAGAAATATGTCTAAAAATAAGTTTATGGTCACATTATATTCAATCTGTCAGACGGCAAAACTTAAAAAAAAAATAATCGAAATATTTTATAATGACATTTTTGAAAATAAAGTTTTTACTAACGAATGATTTGAGGGTAAAATAGGCATAAAAAACTTGTTAGTAATAAAAATAAGATAAAAACTAATCTAGTAATATAACAATAAATTAGTGCCAAATTAATTTTTTTCCCTTTATTTAATATCTAAATAATTGTATGTAGATTATGGCAATAAATGTTATGACTTTTAGTCATCTTTTCAATGGTATGGCCAATAAAAAACATAAAATCAATAGCACAAAAGACTTTTTTTCAATTGTTCTTTTCTATCTCTAGCCCAAAATTTTGTTCCAATCGTTCTTTTTTATCTTTCGTCACTTGTGTCTTTTTTCACAAAATCATGATATGAGTGCCCCATTTTTCATCTTGTTTATAACTCCATCTTTTTCAGGATCGGCCCTGACCACACACATGATAGACAACTATCAACTCAACAAAGACCACGATAAACAATATCTATCTACAACACTTTAGATACTTTGATAAACTTTGCACCCATTTTATGATA